TCCAGGGCTTGGAGAAACAGGGCAGGTTCTGTCCTATGTCAATTGCAAATGGGGCAAAATGGAGTGAGTAATCCTGTGAATTCAGGATCTTTTGGATTCCACTTCTGAACAGCAGCCCAATCTTGCCTAGTAGTTTTGATCCTTCTTGTCTCAATCTCTCTTGATACCTGCCTTTTAGGGGACAGCAGAGTAAAACATCTCTACTGTAGCAAGTCTGTCGCAAGTGAATTGGGCGTTTCAGTTTGCCAGACCTGTCATGATAAATTAATTACAGGATATTGCAGAAATGGCTAGGTTCCAGCAGCATCTCGCACAGTTTAATATAGCCCCATTTCCCCATTTCAATGTATTTGTGGTTAGATAAATCCTCAGAAAATTTACAGCTGCTGCAGCTAGTTTTCTCTACTCTCAGCCTATGTAACTATAGAAGTGTAACTACAAATTGAGTTTCTTTTTCATATATGGATATATATCTTGGCTGATGAAGGATTGTTCTGTTGAAATTTTCGAAGCATCTGCAGTGCTAAATAGAAAGGCTGATATTAAGGCAATTAAAAGGAATTGGTCAGCCACCCAGTTTACTGGATGAAAAACAATATTTTAGCGGGATATCTTTTGAGGGTTATTTTAATGTATCACCGTACCAATCTCGCATTTGGTTTTGATTTCTGTATCTAATGTTGTTCATATATGTTTAAATTTATGATTTTAATTGTAAGTCACCCAGAGTTGCTTTGCAGACTGAGATGAGTGGCAGCATATACATTTATTTATTTATTTATTTATTTATTTATTTATTAGACTTATATACCGCTTCATAGAGCTTTCAGCCCTCTCTAAGCGGTTTACAGATTTTTTAGCAAATTGAGTCAGCAAATTGCCCCCACAGTCTGGGTCCTCATTTCACTCACCTCGGAAGGATGGAAGGCTGAGTCAACCTTGAGCCGGTGAGATTTGAACCGCTGAACTGCAGATAACAGCCAGCTGAAGTGGCCTGCAGTACTGCACCCTAACCACTGCGCCACCTCGGTTCCTTATTTAATAAACAGAGAAAAACGAACAAGCAAATAAATGAAGTATCTGTACTCAGACAGGTACCCCAAGGATGGTGATCCCTTTTTATAAAAAAGTGAGGAGTTTTTAGAGCTACAGATACAGTATGTCTAAGTCAGGAGTGTAATCATAGAACATAAATTCTGTTTGACTGAAAAAATAGATGTTTCTGCTCAACTACAAAAGCAGAAATCCACTGTTATAAAGACCTTACTACAGCTGCCTTCTAAATAGTAAAATATCTTTATATTGGCTTACATGGGCCTAGATGTTTCTCTTCAAAAAAATGGCTGAGGATATGTTTCTTTTTTAATTCTTAAAGACGTATAGAAAATAACCATCCATTTTTGTTGGATAAAAATATTGGAAAGAAGGGGGGTTGGATAAAAACTTTTGAAGGAAGGGAGGGGGGATGGATGACCAGGCAGAATAAACCCTGCCAGGATGTTATTGCCCCAATACTTGCCCCCTAGAATGAGGCTGAATTTATCTTGTACGGTAAGTATTCAGTGAGACCCAAGTGGAAATTAAAATTTCCCTCCCTTCCTTGTTGCTTTGGGACAGCGATACACAGTGGGCATTTTTGGAGATGTCAAATCAGAGGTGGGTTGCTATTGGTTTGGTCCAGTTCCGCCGAACCGGTAGTGGTATTTTGGCCTGGGTCGCAGAACTGGCAGCGACCCAGGCTGGCCATGCTCCCAACTGGTTCCCTGATTGCTGTTGCCGGCATATTGTTTAGTAGTGTCTGTGCATGCGCAGTTCACTGTAATTTGTTCTGCGCATGCACGAAGAACAATTTACATTGAACTGTGTGGGTGCGAAGCGAACCGGGAGCAACCCACCTCTGTGTCAAATAACTATTCATTCTTAACCAACATAATCACTGGGCATAATGGCTGGGCATAATGGGAATTGTGCTCAACTTCTGACAGAAAGCAGGTCAGAAAAACTGTATAATGTAGTAGCTTTTTGACAGAAAAAGCTACTATGTAAAGAAAGCCTTCTCTTTTCCTAGACAACATACTCTTCCTTACTGTCCTCATATACTGTATATATGTTGCCATCTAATTTATTTTAAATAATACAAGTATGAATCTTTCTCCTTTCCCCCCATGAAATGGATCTCCTATCAGCTTTTGACAACATCAGCAAGGTAAACATCTCAGAATATAACTGAGGTTTATACTGATAAGGGCATCAGCTACCATTATTTACTTTAATTCATCTTTACACCAGCATGGTTTCATCACTGAAGGTGGTAGTTCACCCTCAACCATGGGTAACTTTGGGCCAGTCATTCTCTCTCTCAGCCCACTTCACTGGGGCACTTTGTTGCTGCAGGGTTAAAATGTAAGTCAGACCTTGAATTCCTGGAAAAAGGATGGGATACATCCAGTAGCCCTCAAGACAATGTATGTGAGACTTTCATGTTAGTTCTTTTTCCTCTATTGGCAGATTGTATACAAGTGCAACTAAAATATTTTGTGGTATTCTAATATTGGAAAAACGGGGGTGAAGACTTTTAGATGAGTCCATGTGGTCTAAGGCAATAGGTTCTGCTCTCATGGGTTGTGAGCCTCTTTTAGTGTAGGCTGATGCTGAAGATTAAAAATAGCAAGAAATACATGTAAACATTTATGAAAACAGCAACTGTGAGTGATGCTAGTGAGCTAAAATTGACACCCTTTTATTCAATAAATGCAATTTATAATATCCTTAAATTAAACACAATGGTAAATTCATGCCATTCCAGAAAAATTACCCCCAAACTTGAATATAAGAAAGAATCAACACAAGACAAGTAACAAGCAATTCAATATACTTTACAGCAACTTGCGATGGCATGTTGTCATCACGTGATGTATTGCAACTTTCCCCCCTTCATTAAAATGGGGGTGGGCATGGCCAGCGCGTAATGCAGCCGGCCCACGAGTTTGACACCCCTGCTTTAAAGAATAAAATGAGTTCATTTTCTCTTTGCAATTGCTTACCCATTCAAGAGAAAGATTTTTCTGTGCTGTTCCATTTTCCAGTATAGTACTCTTCTGTGATAGCATCCAGTAAAGAGCTACTATTCCTCACTTCTTTCTGGATAAAGCAAATATATTTCTAATTGTACACGTTTATAAATGGAAGCCGAAGGTTAAGCCAAATTTAGCACATTCCTAACTTCTTAAAGAACTATAAATGAGAGCTCAACTAATGATTTCCTTGCTTTTCAGCAGTGACAACTATTTTTGAATCTTTATCTCTGAAATAATAGTAATATATTTCAGACCACCAGCAGCCAGGAAGTGGGAAAAGGAGGTCAGACTTACAAGAATAGTGTGGCATCACAAGCTCTGCTTTTCTACATGTAATGAGATGTCATATGTACACAAGGCTCATGGCACAACAATTTGCAGCAAGACCCTACAGCCGCCACCACTTATAAATACAAACACAATATTTGTCAATATTGTACTCTAATCTCCAAATTCAATTTTTCTGTCAACAATATTGATTTTAAGGTTTTTTTCTTTTTAAAAACACATACTGTATGATCTATCAATGGCAAAATCAAGCTCATTTAGCACATATTAGCATTTCAGAATTTTTTTGCGTACCCAAAAACCATTTTGAACAGTTTCTTTCCTACAACAAACAGCATTTTTTACACAACTTTAATAAATAATCCTTCCTAATGCAAGTTACAGTAACAATTCTACACATGCTAGAAAAGGCTCCTTAAAGGATACTGTATTTGCGTTCACAAAATAAAGGGCTATGGAGTGCGGGTTTCTTGCTTTATACTCTTCTACCCAGATTAAGTATTCCTCATTCACCTTAGTAATTAGAGCAGAAGGATGTAGTGAATGTGGGGCCTCATTATCAAGTTTGTAGCCCTGATCTATACAAAATGGCTACCATGCCAGCTATTTTTCATAGTTGTCTGCTTTTGCTTGTATTGGACTGTTGTTAACCCTAAATGATCCTGACATTCAATTCTTCCACAGACAATTGGGTCCTTCCAGCAGACTTCATTACCTAGTCAACAGAGACTCAATTATCATCTTCCTCTCTGTTCCCATTAATCCTTATTTGATGGAGTTCCATCTCTTTTTTGCCTTTTGAATTAAATGATGCTACAGCTACTCTGTTTCTGATTTCTGATGTCTGTTCCTTAAGAGGCTTGAAGGCAAAACTCAAATGCAAGATGATAGTTGTGAGAGACTGCAAGAGCAAATGTATATTCTACTCCCTTGCATACTATTTTTAGTGCACAAACACATCTATACACAATAGACTCACAATTTCTTATTGAAAATGAGTAGATTCTATATATCACAGCGATGTTTATTTTTGGAAAAGTGGGACATAAATTAATGTTAGCAGTTAAATAGGAAACCCCTATTTGAGTTGCTTTACTTAATCCTCTTGTCCTAATACACGGTTTTTAAACAATTCTATTTAACTCTTTCTACTCCAGTAAGATCTAATGGAGCTTGTCATTTAGAATATTGTAACTCATTGTACAAACATTGAATTTCAATTCACCCCATTGAAACTGAAATCAAGTTCCATCTTCTGGGAAATGCTATATTTAGCTATTATTCTTTCACTCTAAAATATTATCATTTGGTAGTAATATCACAAATGTGCATTCCAAAGTACATTTTTTCTCTATTCATTAAATTAATTCTCAGGTAGATGAGCATAGGGTTAAAGCTTAACCACATGATCACCTTCATCATGCAATATATTTGCTCAGGAACAGATTTAATAACATGAGTTTTATAAAACCTTGTCATCACATTAAATTAATGTTCAATAAGTCAGCAATTTTGTTTTACTACATAGGTGAAATATTTCTCATTCTAAGGAAGAGAATGAATGGCTAGGATTATGTCTACTAGCTATAAGTAGTAGCTAAGATTATGTCTACAATCAGAGAACAGACAAATATAAATGGTAAGCATAATGTTTAATTTGACAAAAAGCTACACCTGAAATTTTACAAAATAAAGAACCATTTCTAGATCATAAGACAGTCACTTGTCATTCAGATGTTTATAAAGGAAAATAAGCAATTAATTAAAATCATTTCCAAAGAACATTTTTTCCTCTTCCTATAAATCCACATAACACTCTCCCACACCAATGGTGTGGTGAAACTGCTTTTCTGGGAAATGTATTCCATTATGTTAGAACTTTTCACAGAAATGTACATTATGTCATATTATTCAGGTATCATAGATACAATATTGAAATTTCATACTGAAAATGTTGCAGTACCTGAAAAGATGGGATTCTTTCTTTTGCTAGTCTAGTATCTAAGAAAAAAGGCATAAAAATAAGGCAGGGAGTTTTTGTAAATGCTGACCTTTACTCATATTTAGGGAAAAGAGGCCTGTTATTATAATATTAATGACCACTTTGGGCATTGAGAATGATTTGCATGCTGTCTTGTTCAACAAATATCTTTGCATACAGCAACAAAGACTGACAGGTATTAATTCAAATGAAAAGCTGTAAAGGATTCTAACTCCATGAGTTGGGTGGGAAGATGAATGCAAATAAAACCCCCACTATTGTTATAGTGACAATAGCCGCAATGCCATTTTAAAAAGTATGTTTTCAGCTCCATAAATCTTCATGTATGGGCTTTTATCTGATTTCACTCCTTAATTGCTATTTGGAACAGTGCCTTAAAGGATATTGTTTTTGCCTGTCCTCTTTCAATTTGGAAAGTGTGGCAAAGCAGCTCCATTCAGCTTCAAAACACTGTACATAATTGAAGCCCTAGTTTGCAAGCTGAAAAGGAGGAGCTGTGCCTTTGATTACAGCTACCACTTCTTTGTGGTGTTTATGTGAAGTGTTATTTTTATCTTCCATGTCCGTAATATCAGATTAATAGTTAGTGATGCCATCCAAACGAGCATCAAAATGTTGGCTACTTCTCAGCAATGCCTAATATATAGCATGATGCATGTTTAAATTATGCTTTAAGGAAGGAAAAATTTTAAAAGGCAAATTGAGGATATTAAATAAGCAGAATAATCAGAAATATAGCATTCTTCCAGTGAACTGATGAAGCAAATAATGACAATTTTACTTTTCTAAATTTTTGTGAAAAAATATTAATTCCCATTATTTGCCATTTAAAACTGTATTGTAAATGTAGATCAACTGCATTTTTTGTTTCAGTCTCATTCTGGGATTGAAGCGGCCCTAATTATCTTGATAAAATGAAGCTGGACAATGGAATATAATCATGAGAATTCTTCTGAACCATTCAAAAGTGGTGATAATATAAAGGAAAAGATGTCAACCGGATTAGCAGGTTATATTTTATGGAATCTTTGACCTATCATTATGATAGTTGTTCTACAAAACTAGGATGAGCAGATGCTACTACCACTTTGTAATCTTTAACTCATAAGGTGTAACCATGTTTTATCTTATCCCCTATGTTCTTCAAAATCTTTAGAGATATCTAAAGATAAAATTGCCAATTATATCCACAGTTCTATCTCTTATTTCCATCCTTTGATATGAACATTATGGATTAATAACACTGTTGATTAAGTAGTTTTGCTGTTCTAGACAGATGTTTTGGCTCATCATCATCTACATCCTAGCCTGATGAAGCAGAACAGCATGTTCTTCATGCTGAGCTTATATCTAGATTGGCCTATTATCTTCTTACACAATTAAAACACATATATATACACACATACATTTTACCTTATGGGGAGTGACCTGAAGGAGTCAATTGACATTTGCTGTGAAATAAATAAATTAGAATGATTATTGAAGTTAAGACAGCATATTAACTGATGTTTGGAAGGGCTGTCTCCCTGGTAAATTTAACCCTTTGTATTACAGGGCTTCTCTCTCTTTTCCTTCCTTGACCCCTTACTTCTTCCCCCTAGTTCATTCATTTTTTTCATTGTGGCAGGGAGAAAGGGACAGAAGGTATGCATTCGTATGCAGTATAATTTTGTGTGCAACAATAGTTTGTGTGTGATAATAGTTGGTATACCCAGATGGGCTGAGTTATTTTTTATTGGGAAACTTAATTTATAAGCACTGTATTTAGCTATTTTTAATTCAATTGATGCACATTTGTGTAATATTCAATATACATTGTTTAGTCCTGATAAATAGTTTTTAGTATGGTTTCCGGCAGGGAGATTCACAACCTACAGTAATGATGGCAAACCTTTTAGGCACAGAGTGCCCAAACCGGAAGATGCCCATGTACACTAGAGCACCAGAAACCCGACGACCAGCTGGCCGGCACCCATGCGTGAGTCAGAAACTCAGTGACCACCTGGCTGAGCTGGGGCAATGGCGCACATGCCCACAGAGAGGGCTCTGCATGCCACCTCTGGCATGTGTGCCATAGGTTCACCATCACGGACCTACAGGTAAACCATTCATTTGCAATTAAGTTACACATTTATTAAGGATGAGATTGCTCTGTGTGTATTCAGACACCAATCTCATGCAACTCATCATTAACCAATATAAATGTGCATGGACCATTATTGCAAATGAATGTGCATACGTACTTCAACTATGAGATGGGCAGCATATAAAACTAATAAGTTAAATATATATTTGTGTCTGCACTTGTTTTGTGGAATGAGGGTTGTTTTAAATTCAGGGTTGTCTACATTTCAGCTAAATAGATATTCAATATTTTTTATTATTTATGCCTGTAAAACATGTGGGATGACTGTATAATATTTGAAATTTAATCCTGTGCATCTGGGTGTTATTTTCCACATCGGTGGTCAACTTGGTTATTCTCACTTCTTTTTTTTTCTTTATGGAATCAAATGCCATGACTACTAAAAAAGCAGTTTCTAATTTTATGTTATTTATTGCTTCAGAAAGGAAGAGGGCAGAATTTCCTAACATGGTATAAATAATAATGTGAGCATCAGTAGTCAACATATATACACAAGAGAATAATAAATAAAGTTACCGGAAATCATCACTGATACACCATTCACAACTTAATGCTTTTTAATTTGAAAACAGCTACACCTGAACATAAACATGTGCTGCCTAAAAACATATCTCACTCATATACAGATGTCAAATTATTTTTCTAAACAGTAGGAAAAAATGAGTAATTGTGCTTTAAAAGCAGGAAAAAAATTGCCTTTACAAATTTATAAAATGAATTTTGTAAATTCGTTCACATTAAAAATATATATCAAAATATATATCACCTTTTTATTTAAAAGTTAACATACAAAAAGCTTGGTGGAGATACACACTCCCTTTTACAATATAGTTTTCTTGTAATTCGTTCTCTTCAAGCCACTTGCAGTGGCTAATCTTATGTAAGTGTATAGCAGGAATAATAAAATCACGCACTGAGCTGGTAACTTAACTTTAAACTCCTTCATCACAATCAGATACAAGTATTTAATATTGCATTCTTAGACCTTCTAGAATAGAGTGTTTCTCTCACAATTAAGCTGGTTGGTTTTTCTTTGTAGATTATAAGAAACTTTAAGCTCATGTCTTTACCCATAATGGTATTATTCAACTTTTAGAAAACTGGACTGCTTTGTTTCGGTTACCTGAAGAGCTTTAATAAAATTTTAGATATTTCATTAATTTCAGATAGCGAGGTATATCCAAATTGGTCTAAGCCCAATCATTATTAAAATTTTAACTCATGTTGAGTTTTACTTGAACTTTCAGAATTTATTTTCCCCCTAGTTCCTTGGCTGCAATAGTTCCATTATTTTCCATGTACTTTTAAGCCATGAAACTCACAGCCACAAACATAATGGACACTTATGCTTCTGGATAGTTCAGCTGGAAGCCATCATCAGATGTTCCCTTTATATTAGTAGTTTTCACCATCCCTTTCTTTCTTTTCTTCCTGTTTTTCTTAGGCTCATCCTCAACATCATTGAATGGGATGCAATCATTTGTCTTATATTCTTGTCCCTCTATATCCAGGCCCTTCTGTGTTTGCCCACATGTAATTCTGTAAGAAATATAGGATAATAGATGCAGTTGGAGATTTAAAGTCCCAAATAGTTACAATAGATTTCTTATCCAGTTACTGACCTGTTCCATTCATACCCATTACTACTAAAGACTGGACTTCTGATGCTAGAACTCACCAAGGCAAAAGCAGAAAAACACGTGTCTAAAGCTGAAATTAATTTTATAGAAAACTGAGGCCCATTCTTAGTTTCTGCTCTCTGAAAGAACATGTGATAGAAACAGATTGGTATTTTCATATGTAGTTCTGGATTGCTTGCCAAATTCCTCACAATAGACTACTCATAGATAAGAGAATTTAACCTTGGTTGTACACTAATATGATATGCAGTCCACTATTTTCCCAGCTTTATTATATGATAGATAAAAAGAAAAAAGCTTGGAAAACAGAGTATCAAGTGAATACCTCTAGGAAACTATTTAAGAAATGTGTGTAAGTGTCATTTACTATACATACTTTTCCCAATAACTTTTCCGTAAAGCAAGTGCATATGCTATCCTGCCTGGATTAGTGACTGTTTTATTTTACTTTCTTTTGGTTTCAACTCATAACATTGATGCTATATAAAATATTAGCCTAGTCTTGCAATTACATGCCATAATCTATTTTCCACCTAATCCCTTTAACAACATAGCCAGATCCATTAGGAGCAACAAAAGTAAGGAAAAACCAGAAGCATGGCTTTTTAGCAATCATGGTGCCGTGAGACAATGTGCCTTACTGTAATATCTTTGGAATACAAACACTATTTGTAACCCAACACATTTATTGCAGTTTTATAATTCTTCAGCAATTTCTCCGGACTCCTTTCAAGATAATTTATACCAATTTAGTTCATTATTTATGGATGGCAGCAATGATAAAACACCCTAATTTTCAGCTTCTTCCGAGTAATTTAACAATCTATGTCGTACTACTGCTGCCTTACTGTTCAGCCAGGTAGTCTGTGTCATTCACTGAAACAAATCTTTGGTCTCCCAACTTGCTGGTATCTGCTAGCATCTGCAAGAGGAAAACTTTAATCAGTAGAGAAGGGAGGTTGGGAGAAAATAGAGTCAACACATGTGTGATGACAAACCCACGGGCTTCCTGAATGAGGAGAGAATATACCACACTTTATATGAAAGATCTGTCACCCAAGAAATTCTCACAATATGTGGTTTAAAACAAGGAAACAGTTGTCTACTTTAAAGCCCTTTGAAATGTTCAGGTGTGTTTAGAAAAAAAAATCACACTCAAAAGTATTAATCTAAGTCTGGGTGAGACTTAAATAGAGATTACCAATATTATTTGAAACCAAATACAAGAAAACAACTGAACATGCCAATATTTTTGAGGGAAGAGGTGTATGACTTTAAAATTATATGCTACTTTTAGCCATATGATATGTGCAGTGTCCTTTCGGGCACAAAAGTGTGTAATTCTTGGTTATTATTTATAGTGAAAGGTCAGCCTGTGGTAAGAGTAGCTTAGCACTAATGCCACTTAGATGTTTAAAAATTATTCTTCAGAGAGTTTTCTGGCTATACTAATTTTTTGTTAATATATTAGAAAGAAAGAAAATGAATGCTCTAAAGCAACAACTCTCTCAGAATACCTAGAAAAGAAAAGAAAAGTTTTAAATTATTTCATTCTATTAGTTCATTTGTTTAGCCCAATGAATCTAATGTGCGGCTTAAGAGATCTTGGTTCCTATAATGACAAGAAAAGCATCATAGTAAGACACAATTGCCCTGAATATTTTTGACATTTAGTTTGCATTTCTCAGATAAGATCATTCTCTCCATCTCCTGGTTAGAACAAGTTTTTTATCATATGCAACATAAAAAGGATTCCAGAAAGAAATGGCAAAACATCTGCCTACACTATATATAAAAATGTTTTTTTTTCCAAAGCACTCTCGCCTTATACTTTATTTACAATCCAGAGTGTGCTCCTTTAGGTTTACCCAAGAGACTTTTATATTTGGGTGTTTTTCTTAAATAGCAGTTTCTCATGTGATATTCTAACTGCTTCATGAACTCCTTCAGGTTTCATAAACTCCTCCACATTTCAAAATGCCCTTAAACTAACATTTGAGAGGGCATTATGGATTGTGACCATAACATTTCACTTCAATATTCATAGTTAGCCACTCAACAATTCAATTTGATTACAATAAATTAAACACTGTATACCTTATGGAAAGTATGGAATTCAAATAACATATGACATTACCAACTACATGAATTTGTTAATATTGTTTTGAAGAGGCTCATGTGAGACTGTTAATCAATGCATTTTTTAAAAATTCAATACATGGATATCCCCCCCCGCCCCCGTTCTAATTACTGATATATTTTTTCCATTCTACTTACATGAGATTGTTCCAGTAAACTTAGTTTCATCTAGCATAAAGGATGTTTTAATTTTTTAACTTACTTGTTTACTTACAAGTACATAATCAATAAATTTACTGTTACTACTACTACTGCATTATATCATAATCTAGGGGTTAGAACAATAAATGAAATCATTACTACTACTACTACTGCTACTGCTACTGCTACTACTACTATTACAGAGCACGTTTGATGTGGTGATTAAGACACCAGGGAGACTGAGAATTTTAGTCTTGTCCGAATCACAAATCCAGCTGGGTGACCTTGGGTCAGTTACTCTCTCTCAGCCCATAGAAAGAGGCAATGGTACTCCTGAAAAATTTAGCCAAGAAAGCTGTAGGGACTTGTCCAAGACTTGTCTCAGAGAATAAGACACAATTGAATGGGGAAAAGGACTGCTATAGTACTTATATTATGTGTGCTATACTATCTATCTATCTATCTATCTATCTATCTATCTATCTATCTATCTATCTATCTATCTATCTATCTATCTATCTATCTATCTATCTATCTNATCTATCTATCTATCTATCTATCTATCTATCTATCTATCTATCTATCTATCTATCTATCTATCTATCTATCTATCTATCTATCTATCTATCTATATACTGTCACTTTATTTTGGATACACACACACACACACACCATTCCAGTGATTTGGGAATCAGTGGGAACACATACATGTATGCAGGATGGAAACCAATATACCCTACTTCAACAATGTTGCCATCTAGTCATTTAGGAAGAGAAGTTTAAGTGGAACAGACAATTCCCTTTTAAGATAAGTCACAAGAAAGGATGCAGGTTAGAAACTGCCCCTTTCCATCTGTTGGGGATAGTTTTTCTTTCTTTCTTCAGAAATTATATTAGTTAAATATGTATTTAACAAATACGTTTATATTAATTAAATACATGGAGCTATTTTGATTTAGCCTCACAAGCTAATTGCCAATTGCAAAGATATGGTGATGCTCAGTTTGTTAAACTAAAATTACTGCTATGTGAAATCACAATGGCTTGAAGCAATATAGCCATTTAAAAAAAAAAATACTTGAGAGTGCATGCATTTTACTCATGTCCCTCAGAGAAAATGAATTGCTATTTGGATTTTAAAGAAGTAGCCCCTTAAATTAAAACCCACAGGTTTATTAAACAAAAAGCAGGATTATGTCTTTTCATGGTCTGACTATTGAAAAATTGGTTACTTCTTTTTAATGTAAGAGTTCCTTAGTCTTTTAGCTGCACATAATAACTGCCTAATAATCCACAATGGTGAAGACAGTAACTGCACAGTAGTCTGAATTGTGGCCAAATATTAGGAAGAAAAGAAACACGAATCATCTGGAAATTCTATGTCTTCATATTATCTTTTTTGGCATGTTTATGAAATAACCAAGTCATATAATTTGTAATGATAATTAAAGTCAGTTAAATGTCAACTTTTCCCTTTCTATCATGTGGAAGGTTTTCCAACATATATGGAATGTACATTGCGAACATAATAACTTCTGGGCTTGTATTCCTGGAGAATGGCTGAATCCAAGCAAGTCCATACATTAAAATTAACACACGCTACACGCACTTGGTAATTAACCTGTTACCACAAGAAATGGAAAATACAATCCCATCTTGTGAGGTATGGCTCATGCCCTTCTCCCAAATAGTTACCTCAGGCACAGCTGGTGATATTACTTTTATAAATTCATTGGATGGAAGAGTAGATTCTTCTGCTAATACTTTAGATTGCTGCTGTTCATATTGTGCTGAAAAAGAACCATAATTCATTTAATATAAGTGGTTATTTATTTGAACCATAGCAATTTCAAATTAATTCCTCCACTTTCTATTTCAGAATATACATGTTATTTAATATATCTTTATCAATCTCAACTACTGATTTATTTGATACTCCAAGAGAAATGTTGGATGCCCCCCTCTCTCTGTACAGATGATATACAAAATGTTCACTATCTCTATCCACAACTCAGAATCAATACTGAAATTTGAAACTGCAAAATATAGTGAAAATGAATCGCCTTGGCTCTTAGCTATGGACTTATTATAGGTTCTCAGCTTTACATTAGCATCCTTCTGTTTGGAAACTTTCCGTATGAGATATTTGAAAACCTGATGTTTAGGACTGTCACTTACTACACATTTATAAATGGATATTTCATAGGTGGACTTTTGCATAGGGTGCCCTCTGCTGTGGAAATTAATTCTAACATCAGTGGGCACAATTCTCAATGACACAAGCCCTCTGCAAGGGAAGACATGGGCAGACTGAAGATTGTAGAGGGACAGATTGCTGTCTGCATTTGTGATCAACTGGCTTGCTCACATTTGGTTAAAAATAAAATAAAATGAGATTAAGAAGTCAGTTTTTGTGGTCGGAGACAGTTGCTGTCCTGTTTTCTGCATAGCTGTTGCTCCTTCCCATGATGAAGAAAGGCAATAAATTACACAACCAATGAAAATACATATAAAATTGCTTAAATTTATCATATAAAATATTTATATAATTAAACTATTGATTTAATTAACATAAACCAGCGCAAGAAAAATATATATGGTTGCTTTGGTTTTAGATAGCAAATACACATCAAAGTAAGTACAGTTTTCAGAATATCACACAGGACCACTGAGTCCAATTATTTTCTGTTATGGAAGGGGAAAAAAGCTAATCCCTTCTCTGAAGGTGCTTGAGATCTCTTATTCTTTTTTAAATAAGCAGATTATATATGCTGTCTCCAGGTTTTAGACAAAATCAATACTCATAGAGGTAGATGAGCAGTTTCGGTTAGAAGGAACACAGAATGAACAAATCAAGGTTGTTTAATCTAGCTCACTGTGTTCTTGTTTCTTGGTCAATGTATTTTATTTTCATATTATTGACATATTTAGTTCTACTTCAGTTTTGATATGTAACATGTATTATAATACATTAAGTCACAGAACAGCAGATTACAGATACTTGATTTAAGCCTCCACAGGTATCACATACAAGGCAAAATCATGATACATACTTTCTCCAACCACATAATTGGCTGGAAAATAGCCTTGTTGTCCATTCGCCAGACTACCAAACCACCAGTTATCATTATCTTTGTACAACACTTGGATAATGTCATTGCAGTGGATGGTTAGCTCATCTGATCGATGTGCTGTGTAGTCATAAAGAGCCACTACCTAAAAAAGAGATAACAACACCACAGCTTTATCACAACTCTACCACAGGGCAACATTCATTTCCTCTAATAGAGAAGTTGCTGCAACCCAAGTAAGATTTGGGCAAAAACTTAGTCTGTCTCAGGTTTTAGGGCTGGTGGGAACGCAGCAGGAGAAGTCAGATAAAGGGGTTGTGGGATTCTAGAAAGAGTTAAGAACATTAAAGGCAGTAAGATTAGCTTTCATGAAAAGGGGGAAAAACCCTCTCTGAAACTGCAGCAGCTGTTAGTTTTATAAGCAAATAAAGTTTGATAGATTTTGTTTCTTAGAATTGTTAACAGCCCTTTCAGAACCTGCTTTATTTGTGAGTTGGCTGTTATGGAGGTGCACAATGAAAGAACATACTGGCAAGAAAATATCACGAAATTCATGGACTGCTAAGCTGTAATGAACTTCCGCCTCAGTTCATTTTGAATGTGCCTATATAGTAGAACATTTTCTATACAATGGATCTTTTTATTCTACACTACTGCCCTTCCAATCCTCTTACTATTTGGGGGGATCTATTCTGCACTGTATAGACTACTATCCCTGTCTTATCCATACTCACTGCAGAACCTACCTGTCATTTCCCCCTAACAATAATTTATCACTCCCTCCCCTAATTTTCAAAGATAAATTATTAAGAGAATTAAAGGAAGGGTGAAATACTGCTTCATCCCATTCAAGTAAAAAGAGTTCCTTCACAGAAGATATGCTTAGGATGGAAACATTATGTTTGGCTACTCATCTTTTTTAAAAAAAGAAAGAAAGAGCAGGTAAAGTTTCCTGAAATGCACTTAGGGTCCTTTCTGCTTTCTCATGCCCAGTAATTATATCTGAGAAGCAACTAAAACAAACAAGCAACCCTTCACTCTATAAAACTCATTGTAAGATCCCCAGTGGATCAGCTTGTATATAAATCATTAGATTATCCCTTATACAGAGATGTGCAATTACCACATCTCTGCAAACTCATTTAAAGATTAAGTGATCAGAAAATCTAACAAAGTGCTTGAAACAAAAATGAATAGCTATTCCAGCAAATATTCAACCAGGTAATCTACACAGCTTAGTCTCCACCGATCAGGGCTTACAAAACATTTCCATAATGATTAGACACTTATTCTCAATTATTTATATAAAATAAGAGCATCAGCCTTTTGAAAAAAAAATATTGTGACCTCTTTTTATTAACTGCTATGTAATATAAAATTTCCTATTATTTCTAATGGATCAATGTCGAAGATTTTTCTTCCTTTCAGAACAAGTTTTTCATTAGCATGCTTCTTTCATTTAAGAATGCACATTTTGGATATCAGCCAATACAATCAGTTTGGAAATGTGGATCACTATTTTTGTAGCACAATTATACAATTTGGTATAATCTGATAAATCGTCTTTTAAAATGTTAAAAACTATTTGGTGATATAACAATCAACATTAGTGCCCTTTCATAAATGTTCACTACAAGCTACAGGACCTGTTTGCCTCTTGGCTAAAGTTTTTAAAAAGTGACAGTTGCTTCTTTCTGTTGACAAAATAATCAATGATATAATGGTCTAAAATAAGTAAAGAAATATATCATCTTGGTTTGGATTGATCTGGGCCAATATATGTCTAAAAGAAATTTAGGAGAATTAATTAGAAGTGTTCAAGCTTAACAATTAAAAAATCAATATATTGTGCAATGCGATAAAGCACTTACTGTTTCCTGGACAGAGATTGAATTAGCATCTCCTCTGGCATATGATGAAGCTGTAAAATGACTGTTCTACAAAAAATATTTAATATTGACAAATTACTAAAAGTTTATATTTTAGTTTAGATAATAACTATATATCAACCTATGCATTTAAATGGGGTCAAGAGAATTAGCAGAATCCTTCTTACAGTTTCCTGCCTTGTCACTAATTTCCACCAAATCATTTAATGATTGCAATCTGTAATACCTTTCATGGCACGATACCCTGTTATTTAAGTAACCATCTTTCTTCTGATTTGACAGAATCAGCATGCTTCAGATTCCATTTAACAAGGAATGCCATCTGAGGGATCCAGGAAGTGTGCTTTCTCTGACATGGCGTCTGCCTGATGGTATCGCGTTGCTCTAGAGATCAGAATAGACCTGATCCTGCCCTCTTTTAGATGAGTCTCAAAGACCCAGTTCATCCTCCAGATATTAGACTAAAACACTACGTGTTTGTGTTGTTGATTTAGCATTTCTTGTTTTTGTTTCAGTCACTGATTCTCCTTTTTTATTGTTTTGACTGTTGTTTGAAAAACACTTTTTTTATGTTTTTAGCTTGTGTGCCTCCCAAAGTGGATGGCCTATAAATATGGCAAATAAACACCCTTTGCTAGGTTCTTGTATTGGAAGCAATAGAAAAAGTTACACAACGTTTGCTCTACAACTACTCCTTCATTTCTAAAGAAAAACTGGTTTTGGGTGTAAACACACACAGATTTGTCACAATATATCTACAACAGCACTAGACCACAGATTTACCACCTGATTTACCACATTATCATCTCAAAGCCGCCATGACAAAAAAAGGTAGAGCCTCTTATTTGCTCTTTCCATAATACAAATACTTGTAGAACGGCAACATTGCAGAGGCAGTGAATTTTACCCAAAGGGAAGGAGTGACTCTTGTTACTCTGGGATGAGTCAATGTGATGATTATTACTGCTATTCTCATTATAATTCTTTTTTAAAAGATGATAGTTCTGAGCTCTCCAAAAAGCTCCATCAAAAAACCATGAGCTGAGGTAAGCTTTAGGAAATAACAGATTTAAAGCTTCAGCATGCCTTGGGATATTTTGAATGCACCCAGATGTTGTGTTAAAGAGTTATAAAAATGTGGCTCCAAAGGGCTTCCTCTTAAAGGAATATGTGCTTTCCTGCCCAACATTGTACTCAGAAAGAAATATGGACTCCATTGTAATGGATTAAAACCTGCCTCAAATCTCAGACACAATCTTGTACTGGAGGATATAAAAGACATGCACAGGTTTGCATGCCATTGTTAATATGGGCCATTTTGTCTTAAGTTACATTGAGCAGAATTCCTTTCATCTTGGATCTCATTTGAAGCTTTGCTGCATACATTTAATCTTTCATACATTTGTTCAATGTACAGGGATGGACAACCTGTAGCCCTCTGGACTTCAATGCTCATAAGTCTCATCCACCATCACCAAATGGCAGGGGATCTGTTCTCCATAGGACAAGAAATGAACAAATAGTTATAACATCTATATATTTTTAAAGTTACTTTTCTTAGAATTGGGTGAAAAGTACAATCCAATTTAAATGGATGCAGCAGGCTGGTACATGCCATTTTCACATTTTGTGGTTCTATGCAAAGGAAGCCTTTAAAATTTGAGCCTGCAGAAATAAATAAATACAATCTTTCTTACGGCTGTTGGGAGAAAATAGTCTCTAAGTAATTTGCAACATTTTGGGACAGTACATTGGAAATTTTTCTGAACAAAAAGCGGTTTAGGAAAGATATTCAGATTCAAATCAACATTTACATCAGTTGGGAACTACCAGAACTGAAGTGCAACACATCTGAAAGATTTATTTGGGGAGGTAATCTTGGGTCTATAGTTAAATGTAAACAAAAAATAACAAAAAGATATTTCAGCATGTTTTCATTGAGATGCTAACATGTATGTTACTGACAATGCTGCACAAAAGTTTTTATTATAATGGATATCATGATAGGTAATTAATATTTTTATTTCCCAAGATTTACTTTAGCCAATTGTTAAAGCCAAGTTAAGGTGTGTTGTACAATTCCTAGATTTTGCTTTTCTTTTGTAAATTCCTTCTTGGTAATTTTTCTTACGTACAGTACATGCTGGTATTTTGTTGCTTTATCCCACACTGTTATAAGTGTTGCTTGCTTCTCATATTATACCACAGTATATAGGGTTTTGTATCATTTTGAGGTGTTAGTTTCACCGCTAATGGACGTTCATAAGACTGTGTAGGGAAAAGTCAGATACAAACTAGAAGTAAAAGAAACAATCTCAACTAAAGATGGATCAAGAAATAACAATTATGTCGATAAACTTGAATGGACTGAACGCACTAAAAAAAAAGAGCCCAGATGTTTAATATTCCTAAGAAATTGAAAGTAGACCAGATATGGGTTAATTGGTATAGATGGATGGAACAAAGAAATAAAAAACATTGAAAGAATAGAATAACTCTCAAAAATAATAATTATGAGTAAAACAAGAGGGTCACAATTGGTGAAATCAAATCAGGATGATAGCTGGCATATAGACAGTAGAATGATAGAGAAAAAAGGAAATGATACTTGTGGAAATAA